CCACTCTTCCTTACCCATCTCTCACTCTGCCATGATGAGTGAGAATCTGAACTAATAACCGCCTTCAACGCGTGCTCTGTTTGCACTGCTGGAGTCAGGGAAGGGCTGCTCGCCCCACCCTCTTCTCCCTAGCAGTGAGACAGCCTCGCAGGCACGTTCTGTCCTTGCGCTGGACGCCCCCTTATCAAGCCCGTGCTGACCCGCGCAGGGGAGCACTCTCCTCCAGCCCTGGCGCCAACGGTCAGAATAGTGGGATTCGGCTTTGCGGCTGGTCCACGGACTCCCCCAGTGCTGTCGGCACCGCACACCTTGCAACACAAAATCAAGGAAAGTATCGGCATCACAGAAATCCATGCTGTTCCGCCTCGCGCTCCACGGCTCCTCAGTAAGCCGCAGGGACTCAAGGATGTCAGCGGAGAGCCAGGGCCATCCGTCCATAAGCCAATCTAAAAATATCCCTCCGCAGAGCTAATGTATGGAGAATTAGAATCAGATGAGCCTCTGGAAAATGTGAACCGAAGGGAGGCAGACGGAATGGAAAATCTGTTAACTGTACAGGCTCTTGTTAGAAAATGATTTAAGAAAAGAATGTTCTGTGTATTGGTGGCAGCTCAAGTTTGTGGCCTCCCGCGGTCTATAGGTCATGCAGTGATCAGGGACCAGCTCAGCGGTCAGATGGGCCAGGGCTGGAATTTTGGCCTTGTTGCTCTCGGTTTGTTAAAAGCCTCCTGAGTCTCAGTTTCCACATCCGTAAGGTAGGAGCTTTTCGGGGAAGCTGTGCCCGAGCTAAATGGCTCTGGGGTGATGGCTTGTGTGGGTATTCAGTGAGTCTGATTTAGGAATTACTGTTAATACTAGAGGTCTTACTTCAAGGCAAGGCTGGAGGGCGCCCTGATGGGCTGTGGGGCCCACGCAGCCTGCTCTGGAAGAGCGGTCGGATGCCTTGTGAGAGCTGCTTCAGTGCGAACATTCCACCATCCTAGGACTTAGGTCACTTTGGAACTGGTACTTCAGAGAAATGAGATTGCGCTTGTGTCAACTGTGAACAAGGGAAGGTCCTGTTCTTTCCTGCTGTAGTTTTTAAAGTAAAGATGGTGCTGTTATTTGGATCTCAAATTACTCCTGAAGGCCCACATGTCAAAGGCTGGGTCCCCAAGGTGGCTGCATGGGGAGGAACCTTAGGGGGTAGGGCTTAGAGGGGGGCTTTTAGGTCCTGGGGCTGTGCTGTTGAAGTCTGTGTGTGGGACTCCACTACCTCTCCTTTCTCTCTCACCCTTCCTCTCTCTCTTCCCGCCCACTATTCCTTCCTTTCTTTTCTTCCTTCATTTTCTTCCTTTTTTGCACCTGCCATGCAAGCTCTTAAAACCGAGCCACACCCCTAGACTTATTTTTTTTTGAGATAAGGTCTAGCCAAGTTGCCGAGGCTGGCCTCCCACTTGTGATCATCCTGCTCCAGCTTCCTGCATGGCTGGGGTTACTGGTGTGGGGCACTGCGCTTGCAGTTTCTTCTACTTTAAAGAGAATAGAAAAATAATAGATGAGACATTAGAAACCATACACAATTTCAAAAAAAAATAAATAGCCAAGACAGGTACTCAACAATGGCAGTTAACTGTGCAGGCTCTTGTTAGAAAATGATTTAGGAAAAGAATGTTCTGTGTATTGGTGGCAACTCAAGTTTGTGGCCTCCTGTGGTCTGTAGGTCACGCAGCGCATTGTTGTCTTCAAGGTAGTTGCTCAGGTTACAGATATAAGCATGTAAAATTGGTAAGAATAAAAATTTTAAGCATTAACCGCTACCTTTAAAAACCAGAAATTAGTAGTACGATCATCTCGCTATCCTGTGTCTATACATACATGACATTTTCCCCTCCCTTTTTGTGTTCTTTCTATATTTTCATAAGTCGAGTATTTCCAGTGTTTGTCACCATGAAAGAAAGATGGCTAAAACAGATGGGCAGCATCCTGACACTCACGACTTCATCTTGCCAGTCGCTTCCGCCTGCCTCAGGTGTCTCTTCCCCGTGATGAGCAAACCCTGCCTGGTACTTGGCTGTGTTCCTTCCATCCTCCCTAAAGGGCCCATGGGCAGGGGCCAGCGGGACTCTGGGAATCAGATCAAAAGAGGGCAGATGTGAGGGGTGCTCACCAGTATGATCAACAGATGAGAAACAAAATCAGACAGAAGTGGGCCTTGTCTCCTCAGCAGCCAGGGCTGAAGAAGGGATGGATGCGTGCTGACTCCTGTCTCACTTCTGCAGCATGCAGGTGCCTGAGCTTTGCCCAGGCCGGGCTGCAGACTCCTGAACTGGCCTGCTGTGACCCCCATCTGAGCCCAGGTGGATGGCTCCTCACTGGTCCAGATTCTATGCCTGTGGCTTTGTGATCCATGGTCCTCCTGGTCCCTGGACCAGTGGTGTCCTATTTCCTTCTGTCTTGCTGACCTGCAATTCCATTCCCCACAAGTTGCCCCTAACGGCCCGGCTCCTGTAAGCCCTTCAGACAGCTCTCTGCTGCTGACCTACCCAGCTCTATGCTGCTGACCTACCCAGCTCTAGAGCTCTGCATTTGCAAGTCTCTGACCTGATAAGGTTCCTTCTAGCTCAGCTTTCCACCTACGTCACCTCTAGTGACCTTCCCTGACCACAGGGGCGAGGAAGCCTCAAGTCCTTGTCACATTCTCACTTCCCATCTAGCACAGGTCACTGCTGGAGCACTCAGCTGTGTTGCGTGTGCTCGCTGGACCATCAACGGGACCTGCTCATGGTGAGCGGGACCTGCTCGCGGTGGGTCCTGCCCAGCCCGCTCCACATGGATGGGTGAGTCTCCAACACAGCGTCCATGCTCGATGATACCACGGAGTGAGTTGCATGTCCATCCACTGCCCTTCCCACTTAGGGCTCTGGAGTGTCCATGGCCTCTTGCTCCAGTGCATCTATTTGTAGGACTCATCTGAAAGGCTCCAGTATCTAGGGATGGGGCCCCTGCCCTGAGGACACACTAGGAGCACAGAGATCTGAGGAAGTCCTGGAGCCCCTGGTGCTCACCTTGCGTGGCCTCTAGCCCTCTGCCTCATCTTTAGCAATGAAATGCAGATTTTCAATGACGTGTAAACAGCTACTAGAAAATTCCTGAATCTCAAATTCTATTTGCCTATCCAGTCTTTTCCTTGGAATAAGTAGGCAGAGATGAGTGTTTGGGCCCATCTTTTTTTCTTTTTTTGAGATAGGGTCTCACTGTGCAGCTCAGGCTGGTCTTGAGTTCATTTTTGTAGCCCAGGCTGGTCTTGAACTTGCAACAATCCTCCTCCCTCAGCCTCCTGAGTGCTGGGATTACAGGCATGCACGAACACACTCCGCTGGGCCTATAATTCTGAGGTCCAGATCTAGGGAGTGGGGCTTCGGGCCAGGGTTCCCTTTAGTGAGCCCTGTTAACTACATCAGTAGGCAGGTCCAGCCTGTTTCCAGGAGACGGTGCTGCTGGTCCAGGACCACAGTTAGGCTCATGAGCTGCTATGCTGGTCCAGGAAAGCAGAGTATCCTAGTGGACAACCAGCAGTCTTTAGTGTTTCTATTTTATAGAAGCACTGTAAAATGGCCTCAGAATCTTACTTTGGGCAAACAAGGAAAAAAGGCATCAATTTTCCATAAAAATGTCAGAGCTGTATTTACTCTGAGCTGGAAGCCTGGGAGATCATCTGGCCATCTGACACCACACAGCCCTCCAGTGCAGCGCACGCTGGCTGCTGTCCACGCTGGCTGCTGTCCCGGAGGGCGAGGCCTCCCCCTCTGCTGATCTCCCACTCTCAGCAGGTCCTCACAGAGGGGGCGCTTAACTCCTTTGTGGGGAAAATAAATACATGAAATCCAAACCTATCTAAATGCAGAGACTTAAAATTACTCTGAACTCATCCGCCCCCCTGTGGAGTTAACAGAGGTGGTGGGACAGATTCTGAGGAGCCGGGTGGTGTAAGTTCCCAAGCCGCTGGGGAAGGAAGTCTCGGTGCTGACCCGGGGCCCCGCGGCAGTCTGGACAAACTCATGAATGTGGAACTTCTACTGATTCTGAAGGAAAAGCCAGTAAGTCTCACTCTTGTTGTCTTAAATTCTTTTAAAAAATAAATACCTAAACACTGGTGATGGGTTCCAGCCGGAGTATAAACTGCTAAATTACGGCCCTGATCCTACTTGGCTGAATCCCCAAAACAACAGCTTATCTTCCCAATGCCCACTTCCTCCTCCTTCCTCACTCCAGCCCTGGATACAACTTCCTTTTACCTTTCCTGCCCGCACGAGGGAGCCTCCACCCAGCTGCTTATGTCACTGAACTTGCCCTTCAAATGCCATCCTTAGCAAAAGTGCAGTCTCATCCTCCCAGCTCCCTGCCCTCCTGCCCTGTGTGTCTTCAGTTAATAAAGCTCCCCTCCCCCATTTCTGCTTCTCTTTCCCTGCCACAGCCAGTCACTGCCAATAAAACCTCACATTTGGAACTTGGCTCTTAGGTGTGCAAAGCACATGGCACGCAAAACACTTGATAATGCGAGGGCTGGCGAGATAGCTCAGTGAACTACGTGTCTGCTCAAGCAAGCGCAGGGGCCTGGGTTTGATCCCCAGTACATGTCCCGCTGGCCCTGCCCCTGGGCGTGCTGAGCCAGCCCCGGAGACCAGGCATTGTCGCGCACAGTGCCTGTAATCTCAGCGCTGTGGAGGCCGAAAGCAGGAAGATCACTACGGTCGGAGCTGTGTACTGAGACCCTGTACCGAATACATCAAAACACATGAGAATGAAAGACTGGTGCTGAGAGGTACTGAGACATCTATGATGAAGGCCCAGGCGACCAGACCACAGTGGATGCTTTGGCACCATTTAGAGCAAAAGAAATGTTCAAATTAAGATAGTTCCATTCATTTGTAAGTGAAAAATAAATTTTCATTATGGTATGGGAAGTCTATGCCACCCAAACAACAGTAAACCAAAATAAATTCAATGACCTTTTTAAAAAAAGATTACAAAATTGAATTTATTGAATTCACACAAGATGCACTTATAAAATTAGTACTGAATGCCATTATGACAGAAGAAATGAGTATCATCCCATACTCCCGACAGCATCTGCGAAAGAAATGAAAATCTTCTGAAAACGACAGCACTATAACAGGATAATAATTCAAGCAGAACTGAAAGAGGTACCCAACCATGTTCTTGCTCTGAGCAGGGCTGTGTTTGGCAACCCATTCTCCAAACTATCCCTATTCACCACAAACAATGTTCCTTTTGCTGGTGAAAAGGAGATGGAAAAAGTGTAGTTTTTAAATGGGGGGAGGGGATGAACTGTATATAAAGCAAATAAAATATTACATTTTAACTTAATATTTCCTGGTTTCACAAAGCATTTCTGTACAATCTCTTCGACATTGATCTTCAAATTTCTTTAGTGCAAAATGTTAAAATTCACTTTTGTATTCAAATGAACAAGCCAAAGCATTAAAGCTTGGTTTATATTTCCCCAGGAGATAGGCCGCACTTACCACCAGCCTTCTGCATGGAGAAGCCAGTAACTTTCTTATGAGGACTGAACTGCCTAGTCCAAACACCAAGAGAAACAAATCCACCAGTACTGCCTTTGGGACAGTTCTGAGGCCAGCAGTGGCACATTTTTATAGAAATGCAGGATTCTCAGGATCGCATGGGGTGGAGATGCCTTGCCCTACGAGGCAGGCCCTGAGCAGTGCCAAGGCAGACGAGGAATCTGTATCTCAAGCAAAACCAAAGACACCTACGCGCAGCGCCTCCGACCATGGGTGTCTGCGTGCTCCAAATGCTGTGCGTGTGTCCACACGAGCTTTGCCCGCACAGGCTGCCTGCTGTCCCCACCCTGTGCAGGACACAGACCTCCCTGGGGGACAGGGGCCAAGCTGACATCCAGAGGAGGAATGCACTTTATATGCCCAGGAAAGATGATGTTGCCCACTCCACTTGGAATATTTAAAACTTACTTTAAAAATCCAGTTAAGAGTTTTTGAATTTTTTACACTGACGATTTCTCAGCCTATGCAAAACCCAATCCTTTAGCTGTAACTGATGAAGCAATTAATTTTAAAGCAAATCCAGTTATCTATACCTTAAAGTTAACACTGTTCTGTTTTTTCAATTATAGAATGCTTTTCTATAAGGAAATTCCTACTTTATTTGCTGCAAATAAATATCACATAGCTCACATTTTGCTTTAAAAAGTAAACTGAAAAAAATGAAACATTTTCTCAGTGGTGAATAATTTTTTTTTCTTTTAAATAAATTAACTGGCTTAGGGCTTTTTAAAAAATTTTCTATAAAATGCTACTATTATGTCATTTAAAGTAGCCTTTTATTCTGATTAATTCAGATGTATCTTCAAGGATGATTGTGGTGGGGAGAACATTTAATGTTTAATTTTGTTTTTAATGCTTTGGCAGATTATGAAGTAAAGTTTGAAAACTGCTTGTGAAACAGCGTGAGTGGAAAGGTAATTCATGGCAGAAGCTTCACAGTTTCCCAGGTACATCCTCACACTGACGAGCCCAGACCCAGCCAGGGGCTCGCGACGCTCTGCCCGGGCGGGGAGCGCTGTCACCGCTGCAGCCCGGCCACACCACGTTGCCCCTCTGCCCAGAGTCAAGGCCGAGGTCACCGCTGTTCAGTGATCTGACCTTCAGCCAGACCACATAATCGGAAGAGACAGACTCAGATTTGCTTGCTGTTAATAATTTAAGTTTTTAAATAAATATTTAAGTGCCATTTTCAGCTTCTGTCTGTCCTGGCAGCACACAGAGGTTGCCCCAGGGACACAGCCACAGGTGTCAGTCAATTCGGTTTCCACAAATTGTGAACCTGTCTATTTCTAGCAAATCTTTCTTTGAGGATCTGTGTTTTAATTCAGAGTTCTCCTGCGTTATGTCCTTTTCATCGCCGTCTGGGGTTGTCAGAAACTGATCGGAGCTGCTGGTCACCAGCAGTGGTGGGACGGTCTCCTTTTGATGAACAGGCTGGCTGCTGACTGAAGCGGACAGGTTTTCTTCTGTGGAAAGACCTGTGGGGAAGGAGATCCACTGAGTCAGAGATGACGGCCCCCCTGCACAGCACAGCCGCGCATCAGCACCGCACGGCAGCAGTCCTGAGGGAAGGGCCCGTTATCCTCCCTCTTAGGAGAAAACAACAGCTGGACAAATGCAAACTACAGGCAGTGTGGCTTCGCTGTGTGCATGCTGTACAGGAGGGTGCGGCGTATCACAGAGCAGCGCCAGCATCCAGTTCTGAAAGACCGTAACTCCCGTGGGACAAGGACCGCCGCGACTGCGGCCAGACCTGAAAACAGCACCAGCTCTCCCCCAGGACCCGGGTCAGCGCGGATGCTCCCCACCCCGTACTTACAGTCACTCAGCAAGACTTAGTCTTGCCTCACTACTTCTGATGTCCAAATCAGAGGGAGAAACAACAACACTAAATGCCCAGTGTTTACTTCAGGATGCAGGAATCTAGGCCTGGCCTTTGGGACAGCTAGGGAGGCCTGCCCAACCAACCTCTGCTGTACATTCAGTCCTCTGAGGCAGGGCTGTGGTGAGCCACAGGTGAAGTGAGGCTCGCTGCATCTGCTTAGAATGCACAGCTTTAGCTCTGCACGCGTGCATGCTGCTGAAACCCCTGGAACTGAGGTGGCCACAGCCACACCTGTCTCTTGGGGATCCCGCTGTGTCCTGGTTTGGAATGTGGTGAACCTGACAATGTCTTGAGGATGGCCCCCACCTCACTCCAATATCCTCCCATACAGTCTCCAGCCATGGCCTCCTGACCTGCAAGACAGCCCTCCCAACCACTCCCCTAAGCTGCTTCCGGTCCAGGAGTCCTGGTCCTGTACTGCAGCATGTGTTTCAAGGTGCCAGCCTCATCCTACTCCTGAAGGTGCGCGTGGCACCTGCCAGTGTCTTCACATAAAGAGCCCCACACACGGACCAACACCCAGCTCCACTCCATGAACAGTACTTGTATGCTCTTTATAATGAGAAACCTGAGCTGGCCAGATAGCTCAGTGGATTAAGGAGCCTGCTTAGGCAGATGCAGGGACCAGAGTTTGGTCCCCAGCGTACTG